TTCCAGCACCCAAATGAATTCCTATCTCTGCTAAGTGATTATGAAGTTTCATAGAACAGTAGAAATACATTGTCCCTTATTTCAACTGAGGTAAGTATAAACCTCCTCCATTTTTCTCTCTCCCACTCAGTTGTAGGACAGTGAAATCTAGTTTTAGTTCTGCTTTTAGTTTTTGATCTAGGCCCCATGGCTGTAGCATCTGTCCATGTCTGAGACCATATGAAGAAAAGAGATTGGTTATAACTAGGAGAGGTTTGTATTCTTCAGTTTCTCTCTGCTGTGCATTACCCAGAATATTCTGAACATCTCTTACATAATCCTTACAAGGAATAAGACAAATCTCTTGTATACCATTCCTGTTATAACTCCAAGAAGGAGGTTTTCATTGCAGGTTCAGGCCAACAATATGTTTGATACCCTGAGGTCCTGCAGGAAGCTGTTTGCATGGCAAGGGGCAGCCAGGGAACAGAGAAGCAGCTTCCTTGCACCAGAGGTGTTTGAGAGAGCTAGAACTCTGCTGGACCTAACCATAACCATGGGAATTCAAAGGGTTTTCATGGTGATGTGTCATAACTTCCCTCCACTTTGACACTAGAGTTCTAGGATCAGTAACCTCTTATAAACCTTTGATGGCTGCTAATAAATGTAGCTAGGAGAGCTAAAATATTATGGCTTCTCCATGGTTCTTTGGAATCTCTGTGTCATCTTTCACACAGAGCTCTTCTAGAAGGCAATGCAAGAATATTTTGAGCCTGTAAATGCATCCTGAAAAAAGCACTGACACCTGAATTTGATGCCTGATCTCTTTGGAACAGTCTGATTAAGAAGAAAAGGCCTCCAGAAGCGCTGCTGCCCCTACAACTTGTCAGCACATATTTCTTAAGTTTGTTGCTTGGCCGAACATGTCAGATTCCTGTTTGAAAGTATCTGGAGTGGATCCACAAAGCTTACCTGCATTTTCCTTTCTCATTGCCCTCCCTTCAAACATTATTTTTCTGGCTGAATTATACCACTTCCAACAGATGTGAAGGTGACTAGTGTGATCAACTGCAAAATAAATTTTAGAACTGAGGTAGATGTTTTCTGGTGAGAATATTTCAGGGAGATGTGTTTTCCTAAGCATGGCAAGGATACAAGATTTTTGTTTCATTTCTAACAAAGATAGGATTTGAGTCTGCTCTAAAATTTGCCATTCAGTTTGTTTTTTTTCTCCTCAAATTAAACCTATTGAGGAAAATACTTTTATACCATGCTACTAACATGATTGTAGTTGAAGCTAACAAATACTTTCATATTGCTCTGAATACAGTTGCTTTCCCAAACTGAGGCCTATGTTTAGAACTTAAATCTGAATCCTGGACTTGAGAAAAAGTGTAAACAGGTTGCTGCTCCTGAAAACACAGGTTGGCAATTCCTCTGCTTTCCTGTGTGTTCTATAGAGAAAACATTAAAGTTCAGTTGCATAAGATTCATTCTCATTTTCATGGTGGTCACTGTTATTTTAAAAAGTCTTAAGCATTTTTAGTAGGTGCAGTTCAAAAAAACCTTCAAGGACAGGAAATCTCTCCCTTTTGTACCATAACTACAATAAATGCTTGAGAGAAATAAGTGCTATGTGAGAAGCACCATTATTAATCTCTTTGGTGTTATGCTCCCTTCTTATACCAGAAAAATGTTTTTCTTTTCAGTATTTTGACACAGTATCTTAAGACTCGATTGTTTTGTTTTGTTTGTTTGGTTGGTTGGTTGGTTGTTGTTGGTTTGGGGGTTTTTGTGGGGTTTTTTTGTGTGTAAACTATTAAACTGATTGCAATGATGATTGTACTCTTTTCAGTAGTCACTCAGAACAGACAGATCTCAGGGTATTGCAATGCAATATTCCCCTTATAGTAGGTCAGGCAAGACTGGAATCAATTCTGAATGCAGTCCTATTTGGTTCGGAATTTTATTGCCATAGACAGCTGCAGAGTGCATTCCAAATTGCTGACTATAGCCAAAAGTGTTCTATAACTTTATTGCAAGTCAATTAAAACAACTTTTTGTCTCTCCTGAACATAAGAGCAGCCATACATTTTATGACCAAGAACCAGGCAGCCTATGCCATGACCTTTTTGTACACATGGTTATGGAGTTTGGGAGAACTGTTGACTTTTAGGTTACCCAACAATCTGCCATTAGCAATACCCCAAGATCTCTGGGTTTTCTTATCTATGTACAATCTTATTTCATGTGACTTGTGTTATAAGAGAAGCCAGAGCTAACTGAACCAGAGAGGTCAGTAACATACTGATGTTCAGTCTTGTTCTTTGCTTTTTAGAGTAAGTTGATCCTATTTGTAGGGGTGTCCTATCAGTTATAACACTTTCCTGGTTTTACTAACAGACACAGGAATAGAAGCATTTAGTTAATAAAGCCTTAAAAAAATACATGGTAAGCCACCTCTTCATCTGACAGATGGGGAATCTGTATACAAACAAATTAATAAAAACACCTCCAAATGCATTTTTTTAAGAATGAAAAGAACAGAAGTGTTGAAAATAAACAAGAAAAACTGTCTGTAGATGTTTCTTCCAACCTTTTGAATCCTAATTCAAAAGTAGTACTTCCCATGATTCGATGCTTGCAGCTCCATAAAGAAAAAACTTTTGTCATGGAAAACTTACTCTCTGCTTTTAATAATTTTAATAACAATTTTGAACTATGTTAGTTGTCCATTTTTTTTAACGTCTTGGTTTTGGTAAGGACTAGAATGATATGTTTCAGAGGAAAATGCAAGAAATCTTTGACTGGTAAGCAGTTCACTTACAGACTTCTGTTACAAACTAAGCAGGAAGAAATACATTTGGGCAGAAACTGAGTAGCTGTTCTGAGTATTTTTGTGACCATGAATTTTTGTAGTTTGGGCTGAGTTGTAACTCAAAAGCTGACAAAGAGTTGACCAAAAATGATGCGTAGAATAATAAATAATGTAGATCCAGGTGCTTGTTGGGGGGTAAAAGATCCTTTCCTGTGAGAAATTGTAGAAATAGAGCAGCTAATGAGCAATTCTGTGATAAAAGAGGGAAGGTTGTTTTTTTTTTCTGTTATGTCCTACTGAAGTGATGTTAGAAACAGTTCTGGGTGAATAACTGGAATTATTTTTCTGAATGGAAGATAAATGTATGGTATGTTTATAAAACTCAAAAACTATACCCAGTTTCCCCCTCTGCCCTATCTTAGCTTTCTCTGACATTCAGGAACCAGATCTTATATCTGAAGAAGGTCATGGATGTCAAAGCAATGAACACTTTTAAGTTCATAGTTCCCACAATAGCAATAGAATAATGTTATAAGATCTTTAAATATTATATGACAGAAAATATTTTAACATTACATTGCATCCTATTTTTCATATGTTCATATGTAATGTATTTGTATACATGTATGGTTTTGTAAAAAATAAAAAATTACATATAATCCATAATTAGTGAATCCAATAATGGTGTTTAAATGATATATACTAGATATTGGAAAAAATTAAATGACTCATGAGAAACAGCAGATCATGGAAGAGAGCTGTCCAGAAATAAAAACCAAAGAACTGATAGAAGGGACAATTAATCTAAAGTAGCATCCCTTTCTGGTTTCTGAATACCTTTAACAGCACTTGGTTTCTTCTGAAGATACAGTCAGGAACCTTCTCTTAAGGATAGAGATAGCAAATGGTTTCCATTTCTGGAGCAGTGTGTTGCTCCCAGGTAGGACGGCTCCCTGGCTGGGCTGCAGCAGGCAGCTGCAGTCACCCATCCTCAGACCTCTGCTGGTCTGTGGGTTTCAAGCTGAGGAGGTAGCATTTGCTGCTGTGTGTGTGCTTTTTATTTTCTTCTTTACCTTGTAAGACTTTAAATGAAAGACTCCCAAGATGTGGTGAGGAGGAATGCTGAGCAGAAGGTGCCAAGTAACGCTGTGGCCTCACCTGCAGCACCCTCACTGTCCTGATGCACAGAACAGGCAGCCTTCGATGGCTAACGCCAGGTCCCGCCCGCCCAGGTTCCTCTCAGACACCTCAAACGTAGAGCTTGTGCTTAGTATCAGCATCACATGGATTTTGAGAACGGTCAAGTTTACATCCATTACAACTAATGGGAATATTCATGTCTATAAACAAAAATGTTTCAGGACCCAAAATCCATAACCAAGTGTTCATCAGTGCAGGTCCAGGGGTCAGCTTTTTGTTTGAAGTGGAATATTGTGATTTCATAGAACCATAGAATCATAGAATGGCTTGGGTTGAAAGGGACCTTAAAGATCCTCTAGTTCCAAGGCCCCTGCATGGGCAGGAACTCCTCCCCTAGACTATGTTGCTTGGAGCCCCATCCAACCTGGCCTTAAGCACTTCCAGGGATGGGGCCTCCACAACTTCCCTGGCCAACCTGTGCCAGTGTCTAACCACCCTCACACTAAAGAATTTGCATTGGCTTGTACATAAAATCACACAACTGTTTGCTTGTCCTCCTACATAGAGAAAACAGAAGTGTCCAGCCTGTTAACTGATTCTTCTGACACTGAGAGCAGCAGAGGGGTAGAAAAGCAGTGGGCATGATGCCCAAAAAGCAATCTTCAGAATAATTGCTTTAATTACTGGGCTTGCATGTCTTGTCTTTCTGCATGTGTTAAAGGTGTCAGTCAGGAGGGTTCCAGCATTACGCGACAAAAAATGGAGCAGTGCTGTGATAATACAGACATTTATGTAGCTCCTTTCAAAGTATTGGAAAAACTGGAAAGGTTGAGCTGTGAACAATAAATGGTCAGCTTGATGTTACTCAGTGGGCTGAGAAATGGAGTCTTCAGTGTTGAAGAGCAGGGTCTTGTGCAAAGTGTGAAAGCTGGAGTAACACGCCCTCAGTCTCACTCCTGCTGCTGAAGACTCTGGTTCCAGGAATGAGCTGGGACTTCTTCATCTTGGGTGGGCAGAGGGGAGGAGATAACCAGCACCTGCTTGGAAAGGAGTCAGCACCCACCCGTGTGCGATGGTGTTGTGTGCCTGCCCCACTCCAGAGACTTCCTGAAGAGCCTGAAGAGCCATCGGGCAGAGCTTCAGGGAGACAACAGGAAGCAAACGATACTGTAAGACCCCAAAGAGACTCAAATATTAGCAGCATGTGAAAGAAAAGGGAAAAACATTTGCTCAGGTATGGACCTGAAACCTTTGTTTTTGGCCGAGCTGTAGGTACAGATTTATTGTAAGGTAATGTGGGAAGGACAGTCTGATAAAACGAGAATAGGAACATCAGCTTTCCTTCTCTGCTGTTGTCACTTAGAAAGGAAAATACAATTTACCTACAGACATGCAGAGCGATGCTGCCTGTTTTAAAACAGTCTAACTGCAGTCGCATAAAATTACCTTTTAAATATAATAATAGGGCAATTTTGCAATGATGTTTGGGAATTACATTTCGGGTTGTGTATAATGGGTGACTTTGCAGCAGCCAAGGAAAAGCTACAAAAATGTTTCAGGACCCAAAATCCATAACCAAGTGTTCATCAGTGCAGGTCCAGGGGTCAGCTTTTTGTTTGAAGTGGAATATTGTGATTTCATAGAACCATAGAATCATAGAATGGCTTGGGTTGAAAGGGACCTTAAAGATCCTCTAGTTCCAAGGCCCCTGCATGGGCAGGAACTCCTCCCCTAGACTATGTTGCTTGGAGCCCCATCCAACCTGGCCTTAAGCACTTCCAGGGATGGGGCCTCCACAACTTCCCTGGCCAACCTGTGCCAGTGTCTAACCACCCTCACACTAAAGAATTTGCATTGGCTTGTACATAAAATCACACAACTGTTTGCTTGTCCTCCTACATAGAGAAAACAGAAGTGTCCAGCCTGTTAACTGATTCTTCTGACACTGAGAGCAGCAGAGGGGTAGAAAAGCAGTGGGCATGATGCCCAAAAAGCAATCTTCAGAATAATTGCTTTAATTACTGGGCTTGCATGTCTTGTCTTTCTGCATGTGTTAAAGGTGTCAGTCAGGAGGGTTCCAGCATTACGCGACAAAAAATGGAGCAGTGCTGTGATAATACAGACATTTATGTAGCTCCTTTCAAAGTATTGGAAAAACTGGAAAGGTTGAGCTGTGAACAATAAATGGTCAGCTTGATGTTACTCAGTGGGCTGAGAAATGGAGTCTTCAGTGTTGAAGAGCAGGGTCTTGTGCAAAGTGTGAAAGCTGGAGTAACACGCCCTCAGTCTCACTCCTGCTGCTGAAGACTCTGGTTCCAGGAATGAGCTGGGACTTCTTCATCTTGGGTGGGCAGAGGGGAGGAGATAACCAGCACCTGCTTGGAAAGGAGTCAGCACCCACCCGTGTGCGATGGTGTTGTGTGCCTGCCCCACTCCAGAGACTTCCTGAAGAGCCTGAAGAGCCATCGGGCAGAGCTTCAGGGAGACAACAGGAAGCAAACGATACTGTAAGACCCCAAAGAGACTCAAATATTAGCAGCATGTGAAAGAAAAGGGAAAAACATTTGCTCAGGTATGGACCTGAAACCTTTGTTTTTGGCCGAGCTGTAGGTACAGATTTATTGTAAGGTAATGTGGGAAGGACAGTCTGATAAAACGAGAATAGGAACATCAGCTTTCCTTCTCTGCTGTTGTCACTTAGAAAGGAAAATACAATTTACCTACAGACATGCAGAGCGATGCTGCCTGTTTTAAAACAGTCTAACTGCAGTCGCATAAAATTACCTTTTAAATATAATAATAGGGCAATTTTGCAATGATGTTTGGGAATTACATTTCGGGTTGTGTATAATGGGTAACTTTGCAGCAGCCAAGGAAAAGCTTTTTTTTTTTTTTAATTCTGGTTTGTGAATTTATTCCCCAGAAAACAAGAGCACTGCTGTAACCAGGGGTTTTGGGAATCAGTATTGCACGCTGGCTAGAAGGAAAAAAAAAAAAAAAAAAAAAAAAAAAAAAAAACCCCGCCTCTGCGCTCTTGCAGCGCTTCGGGAGGGTCGTGGCGGGGCTGGGCACGCGGGGGCCCGTGGGGCGGCGGGAGCAGGGGACGAGGTGCCCGGGGCAGGACGGCAGCACCGGGGCTCCCGGGGGGGGGGACGGGGCGCGCGGCGGAGT